ATGGAAAATTAGAACTGATGGGTGGAATGGGGATCTATACTCCTTGTCAAATTTCAATTCAAAATTAAATTGGGGCCGTCAGAGCCAAGGGAGAAACCCCTGACCCCAGAGTAATTACTTTCTAACATCATGTTCTTTAATTTGGAGATGTTTCTATTCCAGGAATTGTTGGAAATGTACATTGCATGAAAATGAAGCAATATCAGGAAATATCTGTTTTGTTTGTTTCTATTCCTCTCTTCCAGGCACATTCTTGCTTCTAGTAAGGTGTGCTTTCTGCATGCCCGTAACACTCCCTACTCAGCACTCTCACCATTGTAATTACACTAGCTAACTTCAGAGTCATTAAGACTAATGACACAGCTGGCAAGTTAAAACCACTGCAAAACTTGTAGAATCACCCCAGGAGGCAAGGAAGGTCTGTACAGGCAACTTGTTACATAACTCCCTGAAATACAGTTCCCATTATTTTTAATTAATATTAGTTACTATTAATTAATTTGAAAGGCAGAGTGACAAAGGAAGGTCGACAGACACACATAGACACACAAATGGATCTTAGATTCACTGGTTCAGTATCCAAATGCTTTCAAGAGCCAGAGTAGTGCCAGGCCAAAACCAGGAACCCAGAATTCCATCCTTAGAACATACACCATCACCTGTTGCCTTTCCAGGAACATTAGCATGAGGGCAGATCAGAAGTGGAGGAGCCAGGGCTTCTCAATGCTGGAGGTAGATGTTCCAAGTTGTAACTTGAGTTGCTATACCACAATGCCTGCCCCTAGGTTACTAATATTTCACAAATGCCTTGGCATAAGAAAGATAAACATCCCTGAGCCAGAAAGAATATGCAAAAAATATAAAGATATGAAATGACACAGCATTTCCTATGAGTGTTGCATTCATTTGTATTCATTCATTATTCCTTCCATTTGCTCAACACACATTTTTTGAACACTCACATCATACGGGTACTCTTTTAGGTGTTGAGGATTAAAGAATGAGAAAAAGTTGGTCCCTGCAGAATGAAGGAGGAGAAACAGTATAATAGAAAATCATCTTATAGTGTACTAAGCACATCGAGCAGGAGCTCTGAGAACAAACAGCAAAAGATAAGGAGAGTCCATCCACTCCATTTAAGAAGCAAAGCTAGTTGTACTGAAAACGGAAAAACTCAGTCGGTGACAAAAAGGAATAAGCAAATGAGAAGGGGGCCTCATGGCTTCTCTCGATCAAGGATGGTAGCATCATTAACAGAGATCCTCCCTTGAGACAGAGTGCAGTGAGCTTCAAGATGTCGGGCTGAGCTGAGTTTTAGGCACAGTGAGCTTGAGATATCTGAGGGATGTCCCATTTGGAAGAGGTCTGGTTGTCTTGGGGTACAGACCATGCCTAAGTCATTTCCAGGTTTATACTGAGTTCCTTTTTTTTAAAAAACATATTTTATTCTGTTTTATGGTATAGTTGTATAGGTTCTGGGATTGCTCATGCCCTTCCCCGAGGTCCCTCCCTCCAAACACACATTGATTTCCTCTCTAGTTTTACAATGGATGTCCTTTCTAACAAGTCCTCAGAAAAGAACGAGCAAATAAATAAAGACTGTACACCCTGTGCAGGTGCCCTTGCTTCTCCTGGAGTGTGCCGTTTAATTCCCACGGCAACTCCAGAGGAAGGCCTCTTAAGACTCTCGTGTTAGAGAGAAACACATGCCTTTGACAGTCCTGTGCTAATGGAAAGGGGGCTATGACAAGTTCACAGATAAAACTGACTTCGGAAAAAAGGGCAGAGTACGTGAAAAGATGTTCAGCATCACTAGCCATAAGACAGATACAGATTAAAACTACAGCAAAAGTGCCATTAGAACTCCTGTAAATCCAGGAGAATAGTTACAACCTAAAGGGCTGGCAGTACTAAGTATCGGTGAGGGTGTGGATAAATAAAACCCTCACACGTCGCTAGTGGGAACATAAAGTGGTACAGCCACTACAGCAAACAGTTGGTGGTGTCTTACAAAGTTAAACATACACTTCCCATATGCTCCGGCAATTCTGTTCCTCGGTTTCCATCCAAGAAAAATTAAAATGTTTATGCACAACTTGTATCTGAATGTTCACAGCAGCATTATTCACGATAGCAAATCATTGGAAACAATCCAAATATCCATCACTAGTGAACTGATAAATGAAATGTGGCATATTCATAGAATATAATATCACCCAGCAATAAAAACGGATGAAATTCTGGAAAATCTTAAAATATGGATGAACCCTGAAACATTAAGCTAAGGAAAGAAGCCAAACACAAAAGCCCTTAAATCCTATCAGTTTACTTACATGAAATTTCCCGAAAACACCAATGAGAGGAGAATTTGTGTTGGGGCCCTGGGGTGGGCTAGAGCCGACCACAAATGGAACTTTTTTGAGTCAAAGCACTGTTCTAATCTGAATTATGGAGATGCTTGTACTGAAATTTATCAAACTGAATGCTTTTAACCACCACATATTAAAGCAAACAAATGATAACCCAATTATTTTTTCCCCCCTGAGAAGAGCAGCAGAGATCGGGTGAGGAGAGTTCGCAGCCCAGGTGGTTCCCAAAGGGCATACACTGGTGCTCAGCATTGGGGTGTAGGAAGGATTTCAACACAGTGGAGAAGCACAAAAAGGAATTCTAACCCTAGAGGAAGCAAAGCTAAGAATGGCAATGAAAGAGGGCACGTCTTGGCAATAACCAGATTCCATCTGGATTGGAGAGACATAGACGAAAAGCCTAAACATTTTCATTGTGGCCAGACCAGATGACACAAGGTGAGAACAGTCAGGCTAATGTATTTATGACTTAATTTGGTAGATAGTGAGGAGCCATTGAACATTCCCGAACAGGCACATGTCCTAACAAAGACTGAGGCAGAGAGGGAGGTGGCAGTGTTGGAAGAACCAGGCACCAGGGCCGAGCATCAAAGAAAAGACTCGCAGAACTGGCAGCCATGAACAAGAGCCCCACGATGATCATTCGCCTGTGCCCGTAATGCAAAGGGACAGAAAGACTCATTGCAGTAGACAGAACGGAAAATAATAATAGACACCGCTTACTTAGTGGTTTGGATGATCCATGCCCTGTTGTAAGGAATTGCTACTCCAAAGCAAAGACAGAGTTAAGAGCCTGCTCTATACAGAATGAGCCAAATGGATTGATGATCAGCTTTAGGTTTGCCGCAAAGAAAGGGAATAAAGATTAGGGAGGCCATAAAATGCTTATCTAAGGTGTGTTATGGGAGCCATGTGCACGGAAGCTTGTAAGTGAGTAAGAAATTGGGATCCTTCTAAGGCAGGAGGGTAGGAGACAAACAAGGAAGACCAGTTTCCACGGCTCTGTGGCTCGGAAGGCAAAGCGCCTGGCAGCAGTGGGGCTCTCTGTGGATGTTGCCGCTTCATTAACCGTACATGATACAAATTAAGTAAACAGGCGTAGACAGGGAAGACAACACCGAATGGATAAAATGATGATGATACTGGACTACTTCTCCAGATGAAACCCTTCCCCGGATTTTTTTTTTTTTTACAACAACACCCAGTATTTTATTTTCTGGATCCATGAAGCAAAATAGATGAAAAGTCTGAGGATTTTGACTGTGGACAGAACTGATGATAGAACTTGAAAATGGTCAGGCTAAAGCATTTACAACTCAATTTGATAGGCAGTAGGGACCACTGAACATCCCAGAAGAGGAGTTATTGTCATTTAACATCTCAAACCAGGCTCACACTGTACCAGTTATAAGCAGAGAACCAAGAGTACATTCTGGAAAGCCAAATTCAACTGTTCAGAGACCATGTTGTGTTTATAAACATTTTTTTTAATAGCGGCCAACACTTAATGACCAAGAAATCTCAAAGTATGGGGACTTATAGTTTTAAAAAAAAAACTGGAATTCCAACAACTATATGGTCTAATGCCATGTCAATCAGTTAGCATTGAATAGCACCTGTTCTTTTTAAATACTGGAATCCATGCCCGAAATGTTTCACTCACTCACTTACTCGCTCATTCATTCAGTAATTATGATGTACCTATACATGCCAGGCACCATTGCAGGGCTTGCTGACACACCATTGAATAAATCAGGCAGAAACACCAGCTACTATAAGAAATGATGGTCAGGGCAGGGAAGCTCATTCTGTATGGTCAGGGCAGGGAAGCTCTCTGAGCCTTAATATAATGGGAGTCAGAGAACCAAGAACACGGCCCAGGGAACAGCAACCAGAAACATGATTGAAGGGGTGGGGTGCACAAGAACCAGCAAACAAGAGGAAGGGGACATTTCAGGCCTGGAAATGGCTTGCATTTTGCTTTGGGGAACCACCAGAAAGTTTGAACAGAGGAGTTTGGACATACACATTTAGGTTGGCAACTGGGCTCCATAGCAGTTGAATTTTTGATGCTTTGATAAAACAGAGGCTCAAGGGTTAGAGCTGCACTTAATGTCTTAGGAGGGAAAATAATCAGACTGTGGGAGGAGCAGGCATCTTCTGATCTTTAGAATAACAGTTGTGCCAAAGAATAACCCCAGATTCAGCGATGACCTTGAATTAACTTATTTCTATGGACAGAGCTAACACACAAAAAAGCCACTTAGAAAACCAAGCTCACAGTGACCATGAGTCTGGGTACTGCTTGATCCAAGGCCAGAAGAAGAGGTTCCTGGCAGACACGCCTGGAAGTTTTGACTTCATCCCCTTACAAAGCTTTTCTCGCCTCTGTCTCTATTGGTGATATTCTATACCTGCTAGTCCACTCAACCTAGCAGACAAGTTGAGTTTTGTTTTCATTCAGAACTTGTATTAATTCTCACGTCCTCCCAACCAGATGGGAGGGATTTTACCCTTGTACTTCCAATCAAAGCAACCTGTCAGCCAGTGCTGGTAATATATCATCCCAGAAATTCAACTCAGAGCCCCAGAAGAGTTTCAAAGGCTTCACAAAAACAATGATCTACTCACAATCAGAGCATGATCTCGACCCATGGTGATGACCATCCTGTTCACCGTGCGAAGCAGCTGGACCAGAATCTCCTGGATGTGGTGATAGGTGAAGGCCTGTAACACAGAGACATGTGACCGCTAGGATGCTAGATTGGCATGGTCTCCCAGACGACACAGACAGTAATGACTGGACATGGTGTCCACCACCATGAACAACACTTTTGCCATTGCTGTCACCAGCATCACCATCCCCACCCTGTATGTGTCACCATTGCCTCCTGGCACTGGACACAAGGAATCTCCACCCTTGTCCCACCCACCCCCAGCATTAGTGGCTAAGAACTTACTTATGCTTCGGAATCAGAAACTTCCTATTGGAAATTCTGGCTCTAATAATAGTTCACTATAGTGATTAGGTTTGTTACCTTCCCTAAACCTTGGGTTCTTCATCTAATAGTGGGGAATGAGGCAGGAACTTAAGGTAAAAAAAAAAAAAATTGGTTGTCCAGGTAATGAAGATGCTGAGGCACCACCAATAGAAGCCAGTATCAAACAGAAGGAAATCAGAAGAACCACAGCGTCTGATGCCCCAGGATGAGGTTACGTAAGAAAATGTAAGCCCCAGAGTTCTTGGGTCTGAGGCTGCTTGTTCACCTTGGGGGAAGGAAACACAGGATGAGGCAGCTTGTAACCCTTAGGTCTTTTTAAATAAAAGTCCATAAACCTTAATCTGTAAATAGGTTGTTTTGTTTTGTTTTGTTTTGTTTTGTTTTGTTTTGTTTTGTTTTGTTTTATTCTTGCAATGGCAAGCATAATATTCCTGTATATTTACGCATCTCCTCAGACCAGTTTATCAGCAAAGTCTTGAGCCACTCAGCTTCTTCAAAACAGCCTTTAAAACAATCCTGGCTCAGGGAAAAGGCTCTGAGGTTGCAGGTTCAGAAGCTCTGGGTCTGAGTTCCAACGCTGTACCGGCCAGCTCTGTCACCTCCTTTACTGCGTACTATCTCTTAGCCTTGACTTCCTCATCAACAAAATGTGGGAGATTTAAAGTTCACGTGAGTATAAAAGCAACATGTGCAATTCCTCTATGGGAGATGCTGTGCACACGAGATCCTGCGTGGCAGCAATTTCTGAATCATGATGTGTGTTATTCTGCCCATGGAGAACAATGTCACAATAGACTGAGAAGCTCTGGAGATGGAGGGTTGAGTCTGGGAAGTGTTTCCTCTCCAAATGTAGCCAAAGCACACACACAAAGTGCCAAATAAATGATGCCTGAAATACTGGATGGCAACTCATGCTCATTTATAAGCATGCTAGAAACATTTGCCTCATGCAAGTTAACTGATTTTGTCTCTTTGTGTAGCAAATGAAAGGAAAATGGATTTGTAGGCAAGAAAATGAAGGGAAATACACATATTGACAAATGTTCTCCCAGAGCATGCATTGGGCCTAATGCTTAACATTCTTCCCACAGAGGATTACTTGGGTTCAAGAGCCAGTCTGGCTCCTGATTCCAGCTTGCTGCTAATATGCACCCTGAGAAACTATGTAAATGGCTCAAGTCATTGGGTCCCTGCCACCCATGAGGGAGACCCGAATTGTGTATTCAAGCTTTGCTCTCTAGCCATGTCAGGCCTCTGGGGAGTAACACAATGAATGAAAACTCTCTCTCTTACTTTCTCCCTCCCACCCTTCCTCCCTCTTTCTCTCACTCTCTTCCCAACCCCAAATAACTGCATTAAACATTTTGGAGTGGGAGTCAGAAATGGGGCCTAACAGGTAGGACCACCAAGTATGATGCCTGCTCCACATCCCACCCAACTTCCTACCAACGCCCTGAGAGCAGTGGAGAGCAGCCCGGGCACTCAGGTTCTTGCCACCCACATGGGAGATTCTAATAAAGCTCCTGGCTTTAACCTGGCCCAGCACCAGCCGATGAGGCCATCTGAGGATGAATATCGACATCTCTCTACTTCTCCCCAACCTCTGTCACTTTGGCTTTCAAAATAAATCAACCTTTAAAATATTTTTTTTTCTGAATGTTCTCCCTTCCCGTCAGGCCTTCAGTGACTATTACATTCAAAGATGAATCACCCAGAGCATGCTGGGTCTATCCACTTTAGACTCAGGTATCCAGCATGCTACCTAATCTTTAGCCCTGCGGGGCCACAGCAAAGTCTCTACCACTAGTGATCTTGTTAGAGTATGTGTGTTTTCTCGTGTGTGTGTGTGTGTGTGTGTGTGCACTTATTTGAAAAATAGGATTACAGAGAGCAAAAGACTGAGAGGAGAGTTCTTTCCTCCCCTGGTTCACTCCCCCAAAATATCACAAAATCTAGGACCATGCTGGGCTAAAGTTAGAAGTCAAGGATTCCATCTGGTTTACCCAGAGGAGTGGCAAGAACCCAAGCATCTGCATCATCATTTGCTAATGCTTGGGAAGAAGCACAGCCAGGACTTGATACCAGTGCTCCCGTGCAGCATGCTGACCTCACAAGTGATGGTTTAATCCACTGTGCTACAGCACAAGCCCCGAGTCTGTGTTTTACTGAAAGAGGTTCCCATTCACCACCAAATCCATCAAAGCCTCAATCTCCCCCTAGACTTAAGTTGCCTGGGATCCAGCCCTTTCCCCTTGCAGCTCAGGGGTAGGAAAGACAGCAAATGCCTGCCCTCTTGGCTGAAGAGGAGCCTCTGTCCTCTCTTCCTTCTCGTTTGTGTTTTAAGCCTACTTGTCAGATTATAATCTCCTATTCCTATCACATGAACTTGACGTTCACAGTTAAACTAACATTACTAAATCAACATTTCCAAGTGCTTACTGCATGCCTGGCACCCTGCTAAGTACTTTACCTCATCTCACATCAAGATAATCAAAATTATAATCCCCACTGTTCAGATGACGAAACTGAGGCCCAGATAGGTTGAGCAACCTGTCCACAGTCAATCAGTCAAGAAATCAGCAGAAAAAAATATTCAGACTTAGTAGTCTGGCTCAAGGTCTGCTCCTGGCCAGCTGGAGCCTGACCATAGATCTCTGGGTGCCACTTCGGGGCGTCCTTCCAGGCTTCTCCCTTCCGCAAAACCGAGATATCCTGACTTCATCTGAGCCACCTTCTAACTCTTGCAGTGACTTCTGCTCTTTTCTTTCCTTTTTAGAAAAATCTTCAGTATTCACTCTTGTTTTTTGCATTCCTTTGCTATTTCATCAAATTTATATAATGGCTCCCATTTGGTATGATATTTTCTCCAGAATTGTATCTCTTCCCTTACCAATAGAGACAGTAAAACCCCTTTCTTCTCGACCTCCTGACCCTCTTCCTCTTAAACAAATATTTCTTCTTAGCCCGCAGAGCAGCAATTAAAATGCTGAAGAATTTGATATTTAAAAATGAAAAGCTATCCAATTTCAATTCATTTCTATCTGAAAGCTCCCAATCTGAGAGGCTGTGTAACAAGTTGTTTTGAAATCAGATAAGCTTGAGTTTACAATCCTCACTCTATTAATTTGAGCTAGGTGAATGCAGGCAAATTGTTTTTCCTCTGTGAGTTTCAATTTCTCTATCCAATGGGGCAAACAATAGAAAGAACAAGTTTATGGGATTGGGGATAAAGGTGACCCAGTTGAAGTCCCCGAAACTAACAGCTGATACAGAGCATACCCTCAGGAAGTGAAGGCAGCAATTCCTGTTCCTCTTGGTCTGCAGCAGCATTTTTGGCTGGGCTTGCAGATTCTCAGCACGTAGCAGAAAGTGCAGCACAAGGTAATGCATAATCTAAACTCTGGTGATATCGAAATGTCACCCAAAGAATGTATAGCATATATGCAAATGGAAAACTTTCAAGATGATAAACCTGTGCTATGCTGTAAAAGTACAGCCACAAATCACCCACTGTTAATTGCTCCAGTGCCAGGCAAGTAGAGGGAAACTCCAGGAAAGTGTCTTCCGGGCACGAAGTAAACGGTGGCTTGTAATTGAAATGACAAAATCAGTCTTCCCATTATGGCTCTGGCAAAGAAATTTATCCGTCCAACTTAAACACATTGCAAATTGTAGCAATTTTTTTCTTTTAATAATTATAGGCTATGCTATCTGCAAGGGACTTATGCCTAAGCCCAAGACTGAAACAAAACAGTGAGCTGGGTGTGAAGGCTGGGACTTGGAATGAGCCAACCTCTTCCTTCTCAAGTCACGCAGGTCGAAGGCTACCCCTAGTATGTTGTGGAACACAATTCAAAATCACTGATTTCCTGTACTACTTCCAGCATAGTAAGAGAACACTGTATATGATGATGTATATTGATGAGATGATTTTAATAACACAAAGAGGCAACACCTCATAACATGAATCAAATTATGTCAAAGGTATACCCTTTGTTCATTTTCCTTCCAATAATTTTGATAACACCAAGAAAAAATAACCACTCTTTTGGTGCCAAAATGTCTGGAACACTTCCTTCAGACAAAACTTTCCTTTATAAAATAATCATTTATATTAGAAGCAGAGCGAGAGTTTCCCAGCCACTCTTTTACTCCCCAGTATCCCAAATGGCCCAAGAGTAAGAAACTTCATTCAGGTTTCCTTCAGGGGCGACAGGAACCCAATTGCTTAAGCCATCATCATCTCTACTTCCAAAGGTCTCAGTTCCAGGAAGTTACAGGCAGGAACTAAAGCCAAGTATCGACCCTAGCACTTGATACTAGCTGCAAACATCGCGACCAGTGTCTTCAATGCTTGGCCAGATGGCCATCCCCTAAACCCCCTTCTTTTAACAAAGAAGAATGTCCTCAGGTCAGAGCAGTTGGTAAATAACCAATAACATTATCCTAGAAGTGAACAATTTTTTTTATTATTATTCTATTTGTTCTTAAAGGTAGATATACTTTTGGCAAGAGTACCAGTAAAAGATCCAAAACTTGAAATTTAAAAACAACGAGGAAGGAATGGTGTCTTAATGGAACATTCCTGAATAACCCAACTAGTCATCCTTTTAAAAAATTTTATTTGTTTATTTATTTAAAAGACACAGTTACATAGATGGTGAGGGAGAGAGACAGACAAGCAGAGACAGAGATCTTCCATCTGCGGGTTCATTCCCTAAATGG